TGATGATCTGGGTTACAACACTATACCCTTTACAATGTTTGACAAGGGTCCAAAATGTCTCAAATACATTCCATAGCTTGTCACTTGACACACGCATGCGCCGCCCTAGATGCTCTTAAACAAAACCCTGGTCGAGGCCATACACCAACGACAAGGCAACGCTTTTTCTTGTTATCATAACTGATCACTCGACCCATAGTATCCCACGAACAGATCTTCTACATCAACTTCTTAATACTTTCTAGTGATCGTTATGCGCAAGACGTTTCACTTCATTACCGTATCAAACATTGGTCTAATGAATCCCCTAACTCATTAGACTTACTGTCGATACGAACTCGAGGCTGTCATTGGAGAAGTTTCGTCCGGTTTGAAGGAATCCCAGTCCAAACTAACAGTAGTAAGGTCGTCCAAATCAGTTGTTTTACTGTCGGGTGTTGACGATTGGCTAACATCATCTTGATCTTCATTCGAACTTTTCTTGTCGTCGTCGGAGTTTTTATTTTCTGACATTTGCTGTTCTCGACTTGATGACGTAGTTGAGTCAATTCTGACTGAATGCTCGAGAACTGTTGACTCAGTTGTTTGATGTTCAATTGGTGGTTCCCCAACTGATGACGTAGTTACATGATGTTCAATTGGTGGTTCCAGAACTGATGACGTAGTTACATGATGTTCGATTGGTGGTTCCAGAACTGATGACGTAGTTACAAGATGTTCCATTGGTTGTTCCAGAACTGATGACGTAGTCACGTGGTGTTCGATTGGTTGCTTGGGAACTGGTGACGTAGCAACGTTTTGTGTGATTGGTTGGAACTGCGTTGATGACGTCGTTGGAACATAACGTAAACGTGTATAAGGGGAAATTACTATTGGAACTGGCGTGACGTCAGAATGTGGAGTGGATTCGGGAATTTCGGGAGCAGACGGAAGAGCAAGAATGGTGTCCCAAATCAAATCTTTAAATATTTTCCCCTTTCGTGTCATGTGTCCTCTGACAGTGTTGGGTACGACGTTATTATCCTCAGTGGTTTTTGGCTCGGATGACTCTCCCGTTTTCCAAGATTGTATTCCAGAACTTTTTGAAACTGGATCACCGGGTTTCTTTGCGTTCTTTATGCCGATAGGCCGTGGCGAGTCGACAGATAGATATTGTTGAGCGTTAAAGGATGAAGGAAAAAACTCGGGTGCCGCAGTGGAAGTTGAAATGGCGAGATGTGGGCTTTCTACGGGAAGGTTCTGCTTCGGAGCTTCAATGGGTGTTTTTGAAGCTTTGTCTAGTTTATTGTCATCTTGAGTTGACTTTAATTCTTTCACAGCCGCTGCCGAAATTAACACATCGCCATCAGAAGAGTTAGAGCTCGGACTCGATTCTGGTATTGATGCAGTAAAGACTGACTCAGCTACAGTTGTCGTTCTTTGAGACGTGAGCTCCGCAGCAGGCGTGGTCGTTTCGGACGCTTTGCTTTCACTTGTGGCCGGTACTGGTAGTGGTTGGCTTGGCACAGGTATAAACGGCGCAAAATTAGGTGATAAAAATGCGCTAAGTATTGGTAGATTAGATAGCGACAAATGAAAGGGAACGGGCGCCATGGTCGTTGTAGTTGGTTCAGAAAGTTGAATTGCGTCCAGCACTTTTTCAATTTCAGTTCTTGTACTCGATTCACTGGCCATTTTAATTGAAGCTGTCGACGTGATGAGAGTCTTCTTTGATTTTGGTGGAGTTATGGCCACCTTCTTCTCTACTGATTCTCCCGCTACACTGGAAGCTGATGTCGACTGTGTCTGCTTTGTCGTTAGTAACTCTACGGTGGTCGTGGGAATGTCCGGAGTAGCGGGTTCTACCGCTGTTGATTTGGATTCTGTGTCGTGTACAGTCTTTGGACTAGTGGTAGTGACTGGTGTAGTTGTCAAACCTTTCTCGACTGCCTGAACACCCTGTTGATCTGACTCTGGTTTAATGGTTGAATCAATAGGCAAGGGTTCTGGTTGGACACTGGAAGTTGTTGGTTTAGTAGTTGTGGTCTCTGATTGGACAGGTTTCGTAGCTGGTTTCAAACCCAAAGTTCTTGGTAGACTTTCAGTCAAAGTTTTCAGCTCTGATACTAAAGAAGTGAGGAGATAGAGGGTGGATTCTTGAGTCAGGACAGGTTTGGTGGGAGGGGGCTGAACAGGTGTGTCAATTTTGGAAGCTATGGTTGTAGGTATTGCCTCTGGCTTTTTTGGCTCTGAAGCGTCTGCAGCTTTTGTCACTGGGGGCTGATTTGGTTTTGTGGGTGTTGCGTCTGGCTTTTGTGATACTGTGACGTCTGCAGTTTTGGGCGCTTGCGGGTGAATTGATTTTTTTGTTGAGGCATTAGCAACTGACTTTTCTGGCTCTGTGACGTCTGTAGTTGTAGACGCTTGTGGTTGATTTGGTTCTGTGGTCGGAGGTTTAGCAGGTTGTTTAGGTTCCACTGCTGACATGACAAGGGGCGGGTGTAGCTTGCCCGTCTCTTTCACAATCGTCTGAGCAGTTGTGAACGCCTGTTTGTTTGGAATTTCGGCAGCGTGTTGAGACTGTAGCTGATCATTTGGGACCACCGTTGTGGGCGGAGTGGCTTGCATGGTCGTTTCTTTCGGTGGCTCAGTATTTCCGCTCTGTTTACTGGCATTGGACGATGTTGGATCAGCAGAGCTATTGGATTCAGAGGGCGTTCCGGAAGCACTGGTATATCTCTGTCGAGGGCTTCCGTCTGTAAGTGTCTCGGTGGTGCTGGGTGATACTTGTAATTCTGACTGCTTCGTAGATTCCGTCACTGGGCTTGGCTCTTGTGCAAGGATTGGTAATGTAGTTTGGTTGGCGCTATCTGACTTTGCAAGTGTCTGAGCTTCACTGATTGATAGTGTAGAAGGCCTATTAGCTTTCGGATCGATGACATCCGCTGGTTTTGTGGTTGTTTGATCAATATTTTCAGCACCAGCGCCTGGTTGATTTGTTGTCGAAGACTTTGACTGTGGGGCTAAAAGGCGTTGACTTTGCGGTAAAGAATCTTGAATTTGGGATTGAACTGGAATTTTAGTCGATGTAGCCACTGTCGTTACGTCCACGACCGTAGTTGTTTCGATGTTATCAATAACTTTAGACGCAGTCGTCGATTCTTTCAGCAAACTGTCCAAAAAATTCAAAGCTCCATTTCCTACGATTATGTCTAAACGTTTTCCGTTTCCGTTATTGGTAGGCTCCGGACTCGGGTTAGACGCAGATGTTTGTGACGGAGGATGCAGACAGTCCGATCCCTCAAATCCTCCCTGGCAAACACACTTATAGTTACATCCTTGAGGAACGCACGTTCCATGCGGTTCACAAATATCTTGAAACAACGTACACGGATCCGAGGTCGGAGTACAGTCTACGTTCGGCGTCCAAAACGTATCAAGCTTGTTGCTGTGACCGAAATTTAAGCACATAATCACAGCCCAGAATGAAAATAAATAATTAATATTGCACATTGTAACTATTTACAAAACACACACAGTCTAAAAATAGTAACCTTCCTTACACGATGCACGTGTAAATATTTCACAAACACAGTTACAGCTATATTCCAAGAAAGCTTTCGAAGTCGATGTACGTGTATCTAATCAAAGAAAATATACTTGTCTTCTATGTTAAAATCGATAAGAAGAATCTATGTGTGAATTTATCTAGGTCACAACACGTGCACTTTAATGTCTTGGTTTATTGAAACTATTTACAAAGTAGATGATTTAAAAAACGGCTGTAATCCTGACAGTCTTATAGTGTGAGCCAGCACAGAAACTATCTTAGTAGGAGTTATAGTATATTAAGGTTTCATAACGCCCTTGTTGATCTTCAATTATCACTAACCTTCTTAACCTGAAATTAGAAAAATAAAAAAGACTTAATACGGATTGTTTGAATCTCAAAATTTATATAAAAATTTTTCAGGTGTATTTATCACACATGTACTGTTTCTGTAAATGCCTACGCATATTTCAAACCCCTTATAAATAAATTATATATCGTGAAGCAAGTGACATTTTACAGAATTAAACTTCATGAAAGGGTTACTCAGTGCATTAATCATTTTTTAAGTTTAAAAAAAAGAATATTAAAAATTGAGAATAAGACTAAAAATTGGGAAGAACAATAGTGTATAAATCAACTCAATATATATCATAAATAAATTTAGATTTTAACAACTATTTTAGTCTGACGTGTGACTCGAGTCGTAACTTGTGTAACTAAGGTGACATTTTTGATAGTTTTTGATTTATTAACCACTATTTAGGTAAACATGAAACAAACACCATTTTGAAAAATGTAAAACTCTGATCAAGCCTATAATTTAAATAAATTTTGTCCTCAAGGGCCTTATTCTTGAAAACATAACTTCAGATGATTTTAGTGTTCTAATATGATTGGTCCATCACAAAATTGATTTTAAATTTAGTTTTGTTATCCAATCAGATTACAGTATTGTTTAAAATCTGGATTTTTATTTAAGTCAAGTTTTGGAGAATAAGATCTTCAAGTCGTGATGTGGTAGTACAATGGGTGCTCTTCAGCTTTACATTTTTACAAATTACAGTCAATAGATCCTTACCAGTGGCGTTTCTACAAAAAGGGGGCGTCTAGTCGTTCGGATGGGACAATAAACCGAGGCCCCGTGTGCTACAGGCTGTGCACGTTAGAGATCCCTCTATAGTTTGAAATCGAAAAAGAGCAGGCTTATGCCACTGTCCTGGCAAAATTTTCCTCGTCGCACCCTGCATGGCGTTGCCCGTCTTCATTAGCCCACATGGAGCAGAAAAGTAAAAGTAGGACGTAAAACTCCATTCATTTCATTTTTACAAAAGGGGGTGGGGGGAGCTCCACAGAAATAAGGCTAGTCCAGCTAGTGTATCTAGCGGACTACTATTGTGGCCATGGTCTGCCCCGCGAGCCTGTCATAGATCTTATTTTGAAATTAAAACTTAGACATCTCAATGCTCAAAATTCATCTCAGATCATCCGTTGGCTTCCCTGTCCCTTCTGGTCTCACACCAGAGAGACACCTCTCAGGCTTTTCTAAATACTCTAGATACTGCTTGACACTTTAACACTTAGAAACAGAAATTAAAGTGTCCACTCTTTTACTAACATCCTTATAAGACAGAAACATTTCATTCTATATTCCAGCCTCTGATAGTTATTATTTTGAAAGTTGTTGGTGTAGAGACAGGTGTTTCGGACAAGAACATCCTATGAAATAGTTTTAAAATGAAATGTGATGAACCTACGATGAGACTCGAACCAACGAATTAAGTAAGTGTTCTCTTCTGTCTGCGGACACCATAAGTGAAATTGGCTAAACACGGGTCGGACATGTATCAGCTGTTCGAGGGACAATCTATATAAATATAGATATGGACAAGATATACGGGTAAACTGGGTTGATGGATCACTTCACTTGGTACAGGTGACGACATTAAACTAGAAATATACGTCATTTAAAGTGAAGTGTTGCAAACTATTGAAATTTAACTTCGTAACAGCTTAAACTGGGTCAATCAGATAGTGCATAATTCGCCACTTTCCAATTACCCCTTGGTTATTCCCTTTTGGCCCATTCTCCGTTTCGCCCGTTTCCAATATCGCCTCTTGTAATTTTGCTCCTGTCCCATATCACCTCCTCTCCAACTTTCCCCTTTCCCAGTCCAACCCTTAGCTTTTTCGCCCCTTCCCACTTTGCTTCTGCTTTTTTTAGATTGATTAATTATATGTTATGCTTGTTCCGAACTAAGTTTTGATCCAGTGTTCATTTTAGTACTGGGGCAGTTGATTTGATTGTTCATTCCCTTTTTATTATTGGGTACCGACCCATCAACCAATTTCCACCTTTAAAAATCGAAAGTAAACTGTCCAATCCTGTTAATAGTAGTGCTGATTGGGTACCGACCCATCAACCAACCTCCACCTTTAAAAACCGGATGTGAACTGCCCAATCCTGTAAATAGTAGTGCTGATTGGGTACCGACCTATCAAACAACCTCCACCTTTAAAAACCGGAAGTAACCTGCCCATTCCTGTAAATAGTAATACTGATTGGGTACCGACCCACCCACTAACACCCATCTCTAAAAACCGGAAGTAACCTGCTCAATTTCTGTAAATAGTAATACTGATTGGGTACCGACCCACCCACTAACACCCACCTCTAAAAACCGGAAGTAACCTGCCCATTCCTGTAAATAGTAGTACTGATTAGGTATTGACCCACCCACCAACCTCCACCTCTAAAAACCGGAAGTAACCTGCCCAATTCTGTAAATAGTAGTACTGAAGGTAAGGATGGGAGTCGTTTCTAAATTTAGTTTCTATCATAATCAACATAATATTTCGAATTTTAGATTTAACATATAATATAAATGGGAGATAAAAAAGGTCCCTGTGCATAATGACCAGGAACACCTCACCTCTTCCCCTTCCTACACCTTACAATCACAAGCTTTCGGCCCTCTCTGTATTCTTTGTCGCTCAAGAAGCTGAAAAAATAGTGGCCGGATTTTGCTTATATTTCTTTATAAAGGCAATTTTTGAATTAAAACGAAATAATTTGTGAAACCGGATTAAGATGACTAATAATAAGAAAATGTCGATAGTTATAGGTTAACTCTGAAATAAACTTCAAAAAATCTCGTCCAAAACATGATAAAATCGAGAATAAAAGTTGTATAGTAGTGGACTCCTCAAACGAGAAGTGTTATCAGATGTTTCAAAAAGAGTCAGAATGGTCTGCGACACCTACCACTAGACTACTATATACTGTATCGTAGGTAAACATCATGAGAAAAACAGATCAATTTTTACTAAATATTACTAAGTATATATAGTGTATTGAACCTGACAGATTTAACAGCTAATATCTCTTTCTACGGGGCTTTTACCACACAGTTAATAATGATAAACACTGAACTCCAAGAGAAGAGAAGATACGATTACGGATAAGAAATACGAACATTTTGGCATTTTATTGTAATAAAGGTACGGATTCTTTCTTTTTAATTGAATACTCCCTCTTAGAATAGACATAAAATATAAAGTCCCAAACTTGGTCAATAAGTGTAAATATTCATCAGTGGACTTACCAGGTGTCATAAAGTTACAACAGGATCCCTTGGCCTCGTTCATTCTAAAAGGTAGTATTCCTTAAAACAAAATACTAACTTATTTGAGTTTTCTATCATTAAGTATTTTGAAAACTATATTGCATTATTTTAATCGAATCTGCCACAAATATACTTTATAAAATAACAATACCAGCGATTATATACGTGTACATTTTTATAATTTAACAGAGGTTTAGTATTTTGTTTTATTTTTCAATTTGCCTAAAAAGGTTTTGAAACAATATAATACTTTGTGCAGCATTAAATCAGTAAATTCTGGAAATACTGAGTGAAACGGGCTATACAGAAGACAGGAAAGATTTCTCGATAGTTAGAAATCAAATGAGTAGGCTAGGCTAGTGCCACTGCCCTACCAAAAAAAAAAACTCCATTGCACACTGCATGGCGTTGCTCGTCTTCATTACAGGGATCCTAGAGACTTCTTCTAGTTTTCGGTTAGTGATATTTTTTATTTTTTAGCCTGATATAAAACCACTCAAGATTTTGTTTTATGGACGAAAATACTTTTATATAGAAAATGACACCCAGAGTAACTTGTAAAATGGTAAATATCTCCTATACCCCACTGCCTGTGACCTTTGGACCCCTCGTTTTTTCAACCGATCTTTTCCATTCCCCCCCCCCCCCCCTTTTCTTTTCATATTGGGATTCCTGTCATGAGCACAAACTAGCGGGTAAATGGCATAAAACTCGAGAAAAGTAGTAGAAAATAGCTAGAAAAGTACTAGAAAGGTAGTAGAAAAGTACTAGAAAGGTAGTAGAAAAGTACTAGAAAAGTACTAGAAAAAGTACAAATTTTTCTCTTACTTTTATATAACGAAAACCAAAATAGAGTTTTTTTTTAATGTGACGATGGTTCGCGACTTGATTTTCATTCTAAATTCGACTTAAATTAGAGTTTTGTCAGATTTCGCCCCACCAGATGGCCCCAGGGTAGAAATAAACTCTTAATGAAAACATGGGGAGATAAATCTCCTATTTGTGGGTAAAAAATAAGAATTTTAAGATTATAATTAAAGTTTTGTCTGTTATGTAGAATTATGAAAATCTCGAAATGAAATAAAAAGAATCGAAACTAGTCATTATCTCAAGCCAAGATGGTGAAATTGATTTCTTTGATCTGAGCCTAATCGCTTGACAATCTCTTTCTAAAAGTGTAATAGATTTGACTACTTATCACCACTTTCAGGGAGTCCACATAGCTTATAATATTTATATATGGTATTCACGTTTATCAAATTGGTAATAATGTTTATTTAGTATTTAGGTTCGACTTTCGACTATATTTCTTGCAGAGAGTCCACATACTTAATTTTGATTATTTGGTATTGGGGCATCTTAACTTATCATAGGCATTCTAGAGAGTCCACGCAGCTTATAATATTAATTTGATATATAGGTTTGTCAATTGACATCCCTTTCAGAGAGTCCACATAGTAAATAACATTTATGTGGATATTTTATTGGTCTGGTATAATAACATAAGAATAATTTAGATTCATGTTGTTCTAATGACATGAAAACACACGTCTTGTCAAAAACAACCTCATTTTCTTCAACTTAAAAATAAAAACAAGATAGCGGTTGGTCGAGATTTTAAAATAATTATTACGAGATCTTACCTGGCTTCATAGAAATTAACTCCATTTTCAAAACAACACAAAATATTTGTTAAATCCTGAGTAAAATTTGGGGGTAGTGTTAGATATTCTTAGCCCACGTCGATGAAAAGATCCGTCATACAATCGAGTACAGAGCCCCCACTGTAAGAAGCAATAAGTCATGTCATGTGACGTCATATTACGGTTGACATTGTCATAAATAACCCGAGTATAAGTAATATGACATATTACAATCATGATGATGGGCGAATATTCGACTCCCCTTTTCATCTTTAATATTTTAATCACCTTTTAATTCCATCCAGATTTTTATCATTTTCTGGTTGTAAAAAAGATGTACATGTACAAGATGCAGGATTTTTTTAGAGAACTCAGTTTTATTGTAAAATTCAGAAAAGAATATATTTATCACCTGTATTTATATGAGGAAAATAGAAAATAAATGAGCAATCTGCAAAGATGAAATCCAATAAGCAAAAATAATAGGCTCTGGTCTTGTCCAATAACGCATTCACTTTTGAAACGATTCATGGGGATCTGAATTTTTTGTGAGTAAATGAATATTGGGCTCATCGTTTGATTATATAAAGAAAAATATAAAAAAGCCTACATGAGATATTCGGAAGCAGAAAGCAGTAGGCTATGGTAGGCTTTAATCTTACAACGTAGTCACCCTTGGACGCCTGATCCTTGATCATTCTAATAACCACCCCTGGTCCAATTCTTCATTAAATCATTTTCTATGCAATTTTGGCCCATTACCTAACCCAAAAGTTGTCATTATTATTCGAATCCCTGTTAAAAGTTGATGGATTCTACAAATCAATTTATATCAATATCTAGAATCTTACTGAACAGAGAATTGATTGGTAGAATATTATTACACAGAACAGGTGATCCATAACAATTTTATTAGATCATAGATGGCAAGTAGAACCATTCAGTCACCCACAAAAAAACATCCAGACCTGCATTTTATGTAGATTGATTGATGATGTGAGATCCGGGAAACTAAAAGTGCAGAATAGTTTAGGTTCTAATTTTTAAAAGGAGAAGTCTTGACATAATTATTTTGTGATGTTTATCGCCCACACTTCTTTAAAATTAAAAGTGCACAAAAAACAAACGAGTGGTGTGAATGGTAGGGCCTATACAATATGAGATCTCGGAAAATATTTGGGCCAAAAGTTCTTCCAGTGCATGCTTAATATTTCCTTTTCCAACGTGCAGAAATGAAGGTTGTAAAGCTCCATTGATAAATTCATTTCACCCTAATGCATAGAGTTATAAATAGTTATTATATTATACATCTATGGCCTAATGAAAGTTGTGGTCTGAAATCATTTTTATCAAAGGGAAGTAACTCCAGATTATTGTCTGTATTATCTGCCCTTTGTTTACTTTCAGATTCAGTCAGTGTAGAAATTTATTAATAAAATGAGAATGGTTTGACTATTTGATAAAAACGATGGATTTGAACATAATAAAACAACTTCAGAGAGATCAACTGGCCCATATGTTAGAGTCGGTAAGTTTGCTTTGGCGTTAAAAAAAAAAACAATTTTGTGTCTGTAAAATGCCAACTTTTTTAACACTTCTGCTCAGTTTATTGGACCTATTTGAGGTATGAAGAAGCTACAAAGCCAAACGTAAGACTATTTTGGACTATAAGTGTCTGGAATCTGAAGGAAAGCCTGGGAGCAGGGGTATCTTGGCTCGGTGGGAGATCAACCCTACAAAAAATGAAATGAGGAAGTCTTTCAACATCTAAACACTGTCAGTTCAGTTTATGCCAAATAAATCTAATAAGTGCACTTTTATTTGCCAGTATTTTTATTCAGATAAATGTTCATTTTAACTATGTCAAGCTATTAAGAACTGTGTCTAATACCGGTACCTCAGGCTTGACATTTTGCTGTATTACTATTTGCGAGAACACAATCCTATCAAATTTATGCATTTACTAACTACTGTAATACAAGGTAATGTTTAATGATATCAAGGTATTAGACAGAGTTACTGTTACAGCAGTAGGGTGTTAGGTAATGATATTATTTTTGTTATATTATTTAGGATCCTGGAAAGAAAGATTTAGTGATTGATCCTTGTTTTACCAAATTATTAGATCGTATTGCTGGTGTCACTTTTCTGAAGGTGTGTCAAGTTCTCTTCTTTTTGAGAATTAAGTTTACATCCTACCTTTTGCACCCAAATGTCTAATGAAGACCTTTTGGAGGCATTATGTGGTTGGATTTATAGAAAGACAGAAAAACCAACATACATAAAATTGGAATGCTTATAAAATTATAGAAACCTACCCACAGATGGAAGATCTTTATTTTTAAAAGAAAGAGAGCAAAAAGAAAAGTCTTGTACCAGATTGTCTATTGGTGTTAACAAACTTGGATAGTTTTCAAAAATATAACTGGCCACATATCCTAGAAACGATCTTAGCATTAGATTGTAAGACCCTAGAACATCTTAAGGCTAAGATCACTGGAGAATACTCAGCCTGGAATCCAGCTTTTTAATGTTTTTGACTGTATTAAGTTTAGAATAGTATCACCCTCACCCTAGAGTCAATTTCCAAGTGAATTTTAAGAGAAAAGCTTTTATATATGAGTGATTTTAGTTTTTATCTGATATTTGTTTTATATTTCAGCAACATGGGGTGGATAAGATTTTTAAACTGGATCCAACACAGAAATCATTGGGTGGAAGTGAAATGTAAGTCTGGATTTCAGGATTTCAATTCTTTAAATATCTTAACCCATTCAACACCAGCAATACAAAATTAGGTGATATATACCCAAACCGCTGGTGAAACCGCTGTTACCAAGTGATGTTACTAAGTGATGTTACCAAGTGATGTTACTAAGTGACGTTACCAAGTGACATCACATAACCTTAAGGTCACAAGCTTTGATTTATCTAACTGGAGTTCAGGGTATATCATGTTTTCTATCAATTATACTCCAAATCTGAATAATATTGGTTCCTTTGATTAAAAGTGTGTTTTATAAGACTACAGTGAAGATATTTTGTAACTCCTGTCCATCATCGCTGACAAATTCATTGATATCTCACCACTGCTTACATATCAGGACACTTTTCTGAAAATATCTTTTGTCAAAATTATGTTTATAATAATATTTTTCAGGAGAATATATTTTGTACGTCCGACTATCTCTACAATGAGATTAATATCTAACCATATTAACTCAGAAAGATTCGACGATACACAGAGAAATTATAAAATAGTCATGGTACCACGGAGGGTAATATTCTCATATTTGTTATACTTAAAACTAACTGGTCCATATCTCATAATTGTGGGAGCCACGATTGTTCAGTTAGTTAGATGTTAGCTCGCTAACCTGAAGGACCAGCATAAATCAAGATAATACTGTGAACCCAGTGATGGGGCTGACATGGAGAAGGGTCTAGTCGTTCAGATGGGACAATTAATCGAGGCCCTGTTTGTTTTTAGCTATATGTGTGTTTATATGTTCTATTTTTAGCTATATGTGTGTTTATATGTTCTATTTTTAGCTATATGTGTGTTTATATGTTCTATTTTTAGCTATATGTGTGTTTATATGTTCTATTTTTAGCTACATGTGTGTTTATATGTTCTATTTTTAGCTATATGTGTGTTTATATGTTCTATTTTTAGCCATATGTGTGTTTATATGTTCTATTTTTAGCTACATGTGTGTGAACGAGTGTTGGAATCAGAGGGAGTTTATGGTTCTATTGTTATTGATGAATTTAATTTAGATCTGGTTACCTTGGATACTGATTTACTTTCTCTAGAATTACCAGATTTCCTCAAATCATTTTATTTGGTAAGTATAGACTGAATGTTCGGGCAGTATTTTGTGTTGGCAACTAAATCGGAAAGGAAAAGAAGTTAAATTTTTCTTAGAAGGGGCCAGCTTCACTTGTTACTTATTTTGAATGTAACAGTACAGACATTCAAAATAAGGAATAGTTTTTTCATAATTTGCCTAGAAATAATGTTTAAGTCAGATAGCTAAGTCACCCATAGCCTACTTGGTTCTCCAAGACCTCGAGTCATCTCCTAACTTAGATAATAATATAAAATTATACAAGATATTATTCAAAATAAAAATCCATACTAGCAAGACAAGCAAAATCAGGAGTAAAAGTTGTATAGTAGTGGACTGCTCCAAAGAGAAGTACCATCAGGTGTTTCAAAAAGAGAAAGCATGATCTGCTTCATATGTTATTATTTTAACTTGTGATTTTTTATCGACAGGATGGGGACCATACTTGGTTACACACCATAGCAACATCAATCGTCCATCTTGAAAATCTATATGGTTGTATACCTAATGTCTATTGTATTGGGAAAGGAGCTAAGGTATGTTCAACAAATAATTTTCCAAAATATGATAGAAATCAAAAAAGATATACATATTTTGAAATAAAGAAATAGCAAACTTTTATTTTTGATATAGCTACTTCATTAAGGGTCTACAGACAGGCCTCTTGAACATTTGTCCCAATAACCCTATGACCTAATCTGATTGAACCAATCAAATTTTTTCACTCTCTCCCAAAATCCAATTTCTGGAGATGGCGGAAGAAATTTTATAGGTTAAAGCAGAGGTCATCAGGTACCAAAATCATCAAAAGGTTATTTTGACAAATTTTTAAGAGGGCTGTCTTTAGACCCTAACTAAAGTGGCTAAACTAGAAATAAAAGCTGATAAAAAAAAAACGAAAGGAAAGTTTGATCTAATTTTAATTAGTCTGCTCTTATAGTGAGACAAATAGAAAGGACTAACATCCTGTCTTAATTTGTTTCCCGACAGATGACCTTTGACATGATGAACATCCTATCAGAACAGTCGAGAGCAGACGCTGTAGAAAAGGAAGAAAACCTGAAAAATGGACATCTATTTATTATTGATAGAGGTAGGCTGGATTTTTAGTTTCTATTTTTAAAGTTTTTTTGTTCCCCCATGTCTTTCCTATTAGAGGATTGAATTGTAGTTAAAGGGATAGGTGCGCCATTTATTTGGACCAATCATACTTTATTCTCAGAAACTGGAATTTTTTTGCTAAGCCAATCAGTAATAGTGTTCACAGCTCACTGCCTTCAAATCTATGTGTGTTCAGAATTATCTGCGTTTGAATGTTAAAATGATAACTCGTCAATTTAAGATATTCTGTGATATATAAAAAAACTTATATAGTTATAGTGAGTAAAATTCCTAGTTTGAAGTTTTTTAATGGAATTATGTGATTTTGGTACATTTCTAGCGCTTCGGAAGACTATTTACATATATTCAAGACTAAAATCAACCCCAAAAATGGCACACCTGTCCCTTTAACAATCGATAAAGGGAATAGGCTAGTCGAATAAAGATATTTATGAACATTTGTGCCCTTTTCAAAACATAGACTAATCAACTTTGTTGTTGTTTTTACTTTGCCTAAAGGCTTGTCTAATATCAGATTGAAACTCAGATTATGTATTGTTCTAGATATTGACTATGTTACCCCATTGTGCACTCCTGTAACTTATGAAGCTCTGTTGGATGAAATTTTTGGAATTGATTGTGGTAAAGTATTTTATTTTCATTCAATTTTGGGAACCTGTTTTTGACCCCTCACCTAAATTTTCATAGAAATGCCATTGATTGGGTTTTCTTAAACAGTGCCCTGGTTTTTCAATTCTCTCCTGAATAATTTTTGTAAGTTTTGTCGTTTTACCAGTCTTTGGTTGTATATGTTAGTTATAGGTTTTGTAAGTTTTTTTTAGTTTTACCAGTCTTTGGATTGTGTTAATAGATATATAATTTTAACTCTGGTTATATATTGCAGGTATCATAGATTTATCAGACCCTATCAACAATACACAGGGTGGAAAACTTCTACTTACTAGTGAGAATGAGGTAAATAATTCTTACATTGGTCTTGAGAAATGAAATGTCCTACTATAGACCTTATTCATGTGTCAGCCATTTTGAATCCAGAACGAGGCTCATAATGCAAACCTTGAAAATGTAACGTGATGTCACTGGACAAAATCACCACCTTGACGTCTTTAAAGCCTCCTTCTTCAATCCCACTAACTCAAGACTAATATTTTACATCATTATATTTGGAATTGATTAAACTATTTAATGATACTTTTACATGAATTTTATCTTCACACATTTCTGAGAAAGGGGAGTTTTAAGCCTATTTTCTTGCTGTTGAGCGGGTGTTTAATGATGTCAAGTATTCACTCATAATTCATTTAGCCTGGCACGGGCAAGGACAGTCAATGTTATCTCATTTTATTTTTTACTTGCAGATATTTCAGAGTATAAGAAATCGTCATTTTTCCAATGTTTTTGAGTTTATTAGTAGTAAGGCGAAGGAATTAAAAACAATACATAATGTAAGTAAGTTTTACAATATCTTACCAATATAACAGTTAAAATCTTCTTTAAAATAGATTATCTTTAGCTCAATTTAGAATTTGTATTTAAAATCAAAGCTGCCAGTGGGTGTATATTACCTTGCCTGGCAAGCTATCTTGTCAGATACACACGTACAAGTCATTAAATATGAAATTTCATTCATGACTCACACTTTGATGTTGTGTTTGTGAGTAAAACATGGGAGCTGATTTTAGGAGGATTGGTCAATATTCAACTGTCAATCATTCTCAAGTTCTGTGAATATATAGGGCACTGATTGTTCAAGAAGACAGGAAACCTGTTCCCCTGTTCATACCTTCATACTAATAAGAATAATTTGGGCTCCTTTTTTTTCAGAAAAAAGATGATCTGAAGAGTGTTAAAGATATGAAAAATTTTGTGTCAAACGACCTGCAGAAACTTAAACAACAACAAAAAACTCTTGCTCAACGTAAGTTAGATATCTTGTGGCTTACCAGCGTTGATATTTCTTTTGAATTTTATCTTTAAGTAGATAGAAAGAAACATCTATATTTTACAGGGTTCACAAGGATCCTTTCTACCAGCTGATCCTTCGTCAAGCCTCTTGGTAATGATTTTACAAGGATATCAACTTAGGTTCACAAGGATCCTTTCTACCAGCTGATCCTTGGTCAAGCCTCTTGGTAATGATTTTACAAGGATAACAACTTAGGTTCACAAGGATCCTTTCTACCAGCTGATCCTTGGCCAAACCTCTTGGTAATGATTTTACAAGGATATCAACTTAGGTTCACAAGAATCCTTTCAGCTGGTCCTGGTCAAAACCTCTTGGCATTTATCTTCCCAAGGTTATCTGTACCTATTTACAGCTGGGTCGACTGGAATAACGAGTGAAGAAGACAAGATCATCGGACTTTCACACTTTTAGATACTGACAGATGAGATTTGACTTTGTATTTTATATTTTTGTGTGATTCTGATTTGTTTAATCGACTATATTTTGTTTCAGATATTGGTGCCTGTGAAACCATCATGAAATCTAAAACTAAAGCTAATTTTGAAGAACATACACAGATAGAACACAGTATGTAGAATCTAATACGTCCTGTGCCTGTGCTTTCGTAACGTTGTTTCCATTGCTATGTTACAACCTTTATTCTCTAGTCTTCCAAGATATTGTTTTCTTTAGATTTGAATGTCATTTGTCCAACGGTTTACATTTTATTATAAGAATTTCCACATTACATTTGGCACATTACCTTAATCCTGTTGGCTTTTCATAAAAATCAGTACAAGCAAGACAATTTCGTCAATCAAAAATCTCGTCCAAAGAATGGCAAAACGAAATTCAAAGTTGTATAGTAGTGAACTCCTCAAATGAAAAGTACTATCAGGTGTTTTGAAAAGAGTAAGCATGGTCTGAGTCTGGCCTGCCATTTTCAAATATTTGATCATTTTACATGAAAGAATGGCCTGTGGTCCCCCCTGGAAATTTTTATGGCCCAGCTTGGCCCCTACACCTGATGTATCCTAGAAACGCCACTGTTCCAAAGTCTGGAAGTGATTTAGAAGCTTCTTAGATGTAAAATGGTCCCAACATATATTGAAAGTGTGAAGGGTAAGAGGTCATTTGGAAGAAAAGAAATCAGTAATCCTAGGTATTGTTTATAATATTAACCTGTATTGAAATAAATAAATAATGTTTAACTATTGTAGGTATTTTACAAGGAATAGATTCTAGAGGCTCCATTACTTATATTGAGGAATGTCTACATAAACAGGTAACTACATTATTTCTTAGTGCCGCTTAATTGAAGAGTTCTGAACAGGTTAAGTCTGTTTCAATTCTACCCTCAATTAAATGTCACAGAAGTAGAATATGCCAATTTGAATTCTGTCTACAGCTACTATTATTTCGGCACGTTCTGAACATTGTTCTAAATAGTTTTAATGAACGTTCTGTTGGTTCTATAAATCCTGAATATGTATCTCTTACAGAAGTCAAATTTAATGTTCACTCGGGCTCTTTATTTAATTTCAGATCAACTGGTTGTCTGTATTAAGATTAATTTGTCTGTTATCATTGACAGAAGATGGAATTTTACCAAAAGATTATAAAAATCTTCGTACACAGTTTCTACATGTAAGTCATCTTTAGCTAGCACTGGGCCAAATAGGTTGAAAATATTTATTGGAATAAAAATCCTGGTTCTCAAACAATCTTAAGATCAAATTTTGATTGTTCTCTTGTTAAATTTAGACTGGAATCGCGAAGGGTCTTATCTAACACTTAGTTTTAGTAGAATTGCAGGAACCACAGACGTCTGATTGAAAATTGAAAATCGATGAATTGTTACAATGTCCCCAATACACATACAAAATTAAGAAAACCTCTTTGATATCCCTTTAAACATCTTATATTGTTTTCGTCCTCAACTCGTTTCAGAGTCATGGTTTTGAGTTGATGACGTCATTATTCAATTTAAAGAAAATGGGTATTTTTACCGAACAAGAAATACCTCAATCAGCAAAATCTTTAGGAAAGATGGCGTCCATAACAAAACGTAGTCAGTTTAAAACTATAAGTAAAAGACTCAATTTAGTAAGCAGATTTTATTTATCTTCTTCAATAAGATTTGAACATTAAGAGAGGGTATATAAAACAAAAAACACAAGGAAATATATTATGGTATAAAACACTTCTTTAATAACAAAGTACATAACATTTCAACACAATTTACATGAGTTGTCATCAGATGAAATAATGAGAGAAAAAAACAAAACCAAATATATAAGCACAATGTGTCCTTGTCAGGGGAATGAAGACAAGTGTAAATTCAGTTGAACATATTAAAGACGGCCCTAGAATGTGTATCTCATCTATTTCATTGAATTGCAGGTACCGAAATCTCCAGAAAACGTCAATCTGCGTATTCCAGATGATATGGCGTATGTTTTTAACGGAGCTTATTCACCTTTAACTTGTAAACTGGTGGATGTGGTAAGTTTGGAGGGTTCAAATTGACCTAGTTTATCTGTCCAACTGTTTCAGGTAATGTTAGAGTGATGTGAGAATAAAATTCTCATTAAAAGCACGAGCCTGGGTCAGGAAGTTAGAACTAGCCTAAGAAGGAAATCAATCAGAATCAGAAAATGATGTCGGATTACGCAGAATGTCAGAATACTCAGATGTCGGATATCATAGAGTACACTGTATATATTTCTAAGTGCTATGAAATTTAGTTTATTTAAAGGATTGATATAGAAGAACTATTAACATTCTATATATACGAAAGGCTTCTCCTCATAAAAAAGGTAGTGTTAGTAGAGTAATGTACAGAACAAAGCCTGGAATAGGCGAGGTACAGTGTTCGGTGAGGACAAAGATGGATACAGTAGAAAATAGAAGTGATCACATGACAAATGGGTCTGAACACGATTCGATTCTTCTATTTTGGTTAAAGATACATGCTGATGCTATAATAAAATATTTTCTATTACAGATTTTATCTCGAGACAGTTTAGTAAATTTAGAAGATACATTTAAAATGTTACCAGGTGGCGTTTATCATGAGAGGACGATTTCTTCTACACCAAAACGTAAATAATTTTATAATTATTCTACATTCTTAATGAGTTTATAATTAAGAGAGGAAAAAATATTCCTAATTTCAAGTATGATAACTGTGATATTTTACAAGGATCCTGTATACTAGCTGGTAGTGATAAGGCCTTATGTGACAGAGCATTGGAATTACGGGAACCACAGACATCTGATTGCAAATTGGAATGGTGCAAATTGATGCTATTAGTGTCCAGGATACACATAAAATTGAAAAAAAAACTTTTCCGTCACTGGGCAGAGTGAAATTCTGCTCTTAATATGATCAAACTATTCTGTGAAGCCTTTGAAATATTTTCACTTGTATTACAGCAACTGGAAGTTATACAAAACAGACCCGCCCAGAGGACCAGATAGTACTGGTATATTTCCTCGGGGGATGTACCTTCTCTGAAATTACAGCTTTACGCTTTCTAGCTAGATCAAAAGGTACAGTATTAAATCTTTTTATAGACTTTTTACAGACTTGTTTAAAACTTTGCCTATTTGTAGGTGACTAAAATCTTTTTTATCTAACAAAAGTTATTGAATACAATCATAACACCTGAAATTGAATTCTGATTTACTGGTAAGTCACAATTTTTAACATTATCAGTAAAAATGGTAATATTTTACAATGAAGACTTTTACATAAACCTTTTTAAAGAAGACTTGTACCAAACATTCCCGAGTCTTACCATGTAGAGTGTAGTTTCAGACAACCAAGATTTTTTCCTGCAGCGATATTGTGAACCTTTTACATGACATCTCTAGCTGCGAACATATATTCTTATATTTTTTATTATAGGTTACAAAATCACTATAGCAACCACTGCCATAGTAACTGGTAATAGTTTTTTAGATTCCGTCATGGAACGAAAACCAATATAACCAAAATTATCATCATCATTGTTATTTTTGTTTATATTTATAAAATAAACTTGTTATATTCCATAGATTTCAAGTCAAACAGCATATTCCTATCTCTTACTAAATGATTTACTACAAACATCATATTTATTCGGTTTCACTTACTAAATGATTTACTACATACATCATATTTATTAGGTTTCTCTTGCTAAATGATTTACTACAGACATCATATATATTAGGTTTCTCTTACTAAATGATTTACTACAGACATCATATTTATTAGGTTTCTCTTGCTAAATGATTTACTACAAACATCATATTTATTCGGTTTCTCTTACTAAATGATTTACTACAAACATCATATATATTAGGTTTCTCTTACTAAATGATTTACTACAAACATCATATATATTAGGTTTCTCTTGCTAAATGATTTACTACAAACATCATATTTATTAGGTTTCTCTTACTAAATGATTTACTACAAACATCATATTTATTAGGTTTCTCTTACTAAATGATTTACTACAAACATCATATTTATTAGGTTTCTCTTACTAAATGATTTATTACAGACATCATATTTATTAGGTTTCTCTTACTAAATGATTTACTACAAACATCATATTTATTAGGTTTCTCTTACTAAATGATTTACTAAAAACATATGATATTTCTGAGGTTTCTCTTACTAAATGATTTATTACAGACATCATATTTATTAGGTTTCTCTTACTAAATGATTTATCATATTCATTAGGTTTCTCTTACTAAATGATTTACTACAGACATCATATGTATTAGGTTTCTCTTACTAAATGATTTACTAAAAACATCATATATATTAGGTTTCTCTTGCTAAATGATTTACTACAGACATATTTATTAGGTTTCTCTTGCTAAATGATTTATTACAGACATCATATTTATTAGGTTTCTCTTACTAAATGATTTACTACAAACATCATATTTATTAGGTTTCTCTTGCTAAATGATTTATTACAGACATCATATTTATTAGGTTTCTCTTACTAAATGATTTACTACAAACATCATATTTATTAGGTTTCTCTTACTAAATGATTTATTACAGACATCATATGTATTAGGTTTCTCTTACTAAATGATTTACTACAGACATCATATTTATTAGGTTTCTCTTACTAAATGATTTACTACAAACATCATATGTATTAGGTTTCTCTTACTAAATGATTTACTAAAAACATCATATATATTAGGTTTCTCTTGCTAAATGATTTACTACAGACATATTTATTAGGTTTCTCTTACTAAATGATTTACTACAGATCATATTTATTAGGTTTCTCTTACTAAATGATTTACTACAAACATCATATTTATTAGGTTTCTCTTACTAAATGATTTATTACAGACATCATATTTATTAGGTTTCTCTTACTAAATAATTTTTTACAAACATCATATTTATTAGGTTTCTCTTACTAAAGGTTTACAACAGATATCATATATAACATTTATCAGGTTTCTCTAGCCTGCTGCAGAGGAACGAATCCGTTGTTGTCTGAAACTGTTTTAAAAAGAGTAACCTCCCTTGCAATACTGCAACTTCACAATTTTTATTTAAACATCATCACTTGATGGGCGTAGGCTACACTTGTTTATTTTGATTTGTACGACGAAAGGTTCTGAAAGTCTAAATACGCTTTGGCTATTATAGCAATATGTCTAAAACTTACTTCTTACTAACTGTAATATTAAAACTATATAATATTAAAACAACGATTATGATAGCGTATCGACATGAAAAGCACGCGTAAAAGGAGTAAAAGACAATCCAATTTTAAGGGACAAACAAGTTTTTTTAGTAGTCTTAGAGTTTAGTTAATCTCAACATCCATTTCTAAAACTAACTGTCCTGATGAGGATCGTGTATCCGAAGCATGTCGACGGTATGGGGTGAGCTCTTTTCAATTGGCTAACATATCAAAAGTTTATTCCCAATTCCAAAACCAGCAGTCCTGATGAGGGATGTGTATCGGAAACATGTGATAACAGCATGAGAGGAGCTCAAGTCGATCACTGTATAAGTGAAGGCCTGTTTATACGCCTACCAACTGAAATGATAGAAAAGTTAAAATTTCTACAAATTAGCCACAGCTGTCAAAATATCCCGAAACATTCGTGGTGTTATTACTCAAAATAACTTAAAATCAAAATTCTTACAGCGGCGGTGAATTTCTGGAAGTTGGAATTAGGCTGGGAAATTGAACAAAATGGAAAATGTCGTCGCTTTTATTTTCTAAAAGTTAAAAACATTTTCTAAATATTGTCAAAATACGAGAAATAACACAAATGGTTTCCGTCTGGTTTTTGTCTTTTAGTTTTAAAAATCAAACTACATTTGGTTTTCATTTGTACAAAGAAATGGAGAAATTTTATTGTTAAAAGTTTGTTTTGTTTTTCTCTGAATTAGGAATGGATATTGGATAATAAAACTTAGTTGAACTGCTTGTAGCTTGAGTTCACTTAAAGGATCATTGACATCAAATAATTTTGGT